ATATGCACAAAAATATTAAACGAATCCTGCCAGAGATGTTAAATATCTTAAGCATTAAAAGTAAAAAGCTTACCCTTAATACACCAAATTAAAAAATGTTTAAACACTACCAAAAAAAAATCCCCAATTGACAATGATTAGTTGTTGTTTTTTAACACAGGAAATTGGACTTGACAGTAGAATACTTTGAGTTTCAGTTTTGACTTGACCACGGGCAAGCCAGTTCACTCTCTGAGCCTCAATTGCTTTGTTGGCAAAACCAGGATAATATTATCCATTTCACCTACTTACATTTCTTTTAGAATCATCTGAGTTAACAGTGAAAGTGTTTTGAAAACAGTTACATAAATTTAAGAACCATTAAAAAGCAGTTTCATTGAGAGTCATATTTTAAAATATCCAACTTTGAAAATGCTAAAAATGTTGGATTTCTAATACTGATATGACATAGAGCATGGCTGCCTGTGGGTCACACCATGTACAGACTTGTGGGTTTTTTTTTGACATGCTGTCTCACTCTGTCACCCAGGCTGGAGAGCAGTGGTACGATCTCAGCTCACTGCAACCTCCACCTCCTGGGTTCAAGCGATTCTCTTGCCTCAGCCTCCCGAGTAGCTGGGATTACAGGTATGTGCCACCATGTCCGGCTAATTTTTATTTTTAGTCCAGACAGGGGTCTTACCACGTTTGCCAGCCTGGTCTTGAACTCCTGGCCTCAAGTGATCCTCCCACCTTGGCCTCCCAAAGTTCTGGGATTACTGGCGTGAGACTGACAACATTTTAAACTACAAACATAAACATAAACCCTTAGTCCTCAGGGCTATGATATCATTACATGTCTCATAGACTCCGGAAAACTCCATTCACCAATACATGCGTGATAAAATGAGACAGCAAAGGCAAATGACATGTTCACGTTTCTATTAAAGTAGTTTTGACCTCATAGGCCTCCTGAAAGGTTCTCAGAGACCCCAGATCACACTTTTAGAACCGCTTGCTTACACTGCAAAGTGAGAAACAGGACATCTGATTGACAGTAAATACACCACACCTGGCCTCATGTGATTTTTAAGTACCCGAACCGCAGACATATGAGGACTGTGACTATTGGTGATTCAGTCACTGCTTGTCCCATTTTTTTTTTTTTTACTATTGCTCTTAAAATAGTTTAATAACTACAATAATACTTCCCTATTTGACAGAGAAAGTATAAGGATTGGTCTTTCAAAATTAAGATTTCAGAGACAATTCCTTATCCCTACTCATTGTCTAAATGAACAAATCTTAAGTTTGTTGGGGGACTCTCAGTAACTCAGGGGCTATCTGTACCATATTTATGTCTCTAGGAAAGTAGAAGGGAAAGGATCATAGAAGACTGAGGCTCCTTGCTTCAATTTTGGCTTATTCTCCATTGCATTTC